TTTCCTCATAACATTTCACACCTGTTGAAATCACCCTTGTATCTTGACTTCCTAAACTTGATGATCTACCTGGGAAGTGAAAATTAACAGAATACTCCTCTAATATTTGGACTGTGGTCTTCATTTGGGGTTTTTGCCCTATACAGCGTGCAGACTGGGATGGCTGTTCCTTAGCATGAGTTTAACACTAGGGCCTTCCCAGGGCAATATTTGACCCATTCGTGGGTTAAGCACCCAAGGTTTTCTTGGTGGTCCAGTTGGTGTTGTGAGGGTACTATACTTGGTAATAGGTCCAAGATTTTAATTACCTCTATAATTTAAGGAGATACTAAAAAGGTTTTCTAGATAGAATGATCAGTGCTTTGAAGTCCACACTAAGCATTTTTCTCTTAAAACATTTGGTCATATATGTCACCACAGAAAACACTTCAAATAGTTTGTGTCCTTGTTGAGGTGTAGAACATCTGAGGGCCCTCAAATTGGCATTGGAAGACTTAACTTCTTTCCTTTAAGGACTAGAAGAAAAGGAAGCTGAAATTAGAATTTGTCACGAATGGTCCCCTTTATAACTTTGTGCACAATCTTAGTATCCAGTGCCCAATTCACAGTAAGTATTCAGACGTTAAAGCCAAAGGGAAACTTCATTGCAGGTTCACTGTAGACACCTTGGATGCTGATCACCACTAGCCCCTCCTGGTAGACCATAAATCTAGCCGTTGTCCTCTCCATGACTCATCCAGTACATCAACAGTTCCTATCAACTCCACTCTCGACTAATGTCCATCTCTGTTTCCACTGATGACCCCCTCCCAGACAATTCCAACTGCCCCCTTACATCTCCTTGCTTTGGCTGCTTTTTACTGTACACAACCAACTGGCAAGGTTTTCAAATAACTCCAGTTGCTGCTGTTTGTGATTAAAAAGTGAAGGGAGGATAGTAGAGCTCAAGTGGTAGAGCGCTTGCCTGGCATACACAAGGTCCTGGGTTCAATCCCCAGTGTCCCCTCCAAATAAGTAAACCTAATTACCATCCCCCCCAATTTTTTTTTTTAATGCAAAGTGAATTCCTTACTCTGACTTAGGAGGCCCAGGTGACTAATCTTGATTGTCCTCTGGTATCTCCAGGTTTAAAGACTTTGACCATCTTAGCCTTTTGGTCATTTATCACTCCAAGCTGGTTCCTGCCTTGGGGCTTACATATAAACCATTCTCTCTGGAATGTCTTTGACCTGTATTTTCCTAACCCAAATACTATGTCAAATGTCACTCTCATAGCTGTCTTCTCTAAATGGGGCACAATACATAAAATGCTCTATTGGTCTGTATTATTTTTCCATGGTACTTTCAGTTTCCTGAAGATAATTTGTCTTCTGTGTTAGAACGTAAGCACCATGATGAGCACACAGACTTCATTCACTTTCAAACCCCTCAAATATTTACTGTAGTAACTGAGCCAGTGGCAGCAACACTGCTCTGTTATCCCAGCACCTACCTTTGGTCACATACAAGTAGAAGAAGTCACAGTAGAAGATGGTTTGCACTACCCCAGACACCACTGCAATTTGGTCATAGAAATTCTCAGTCTGGTACCGCCTGATCCAGTTAGCCAGGTAGAGTGCCCGGTACAGCCCAAGGAAGAACAGGTAATGAGTAGTAATGGTCTCGGCTTCTCCAGTCTTACTGATCATGAAGAGTTGAGGCAGGATAGCCACCGATTCCAGGTAGATAGAGAAAGTCCAGAGGATCTGAGTCAAAGAGAAGTTGCCAGAGGAGGCTGATCAAGAAGGGGCCCATCTTTAGAATTCAGTTACTAGAATGATGTTAATTGGAGAGAGAATACAGTGAAGCAAAAAAGAATAATGCTGAAATTTTAAAATACTTTAATCAGTGTATCATTGCACCCTTTCTCTGCAAATAAACATTTTTAAGACGCAACACTTTTTTCACAACAGCTTGAACGTTGCTATAGAGCGTAATTTTTAATTGTCGCAGAGTTCTGTTGTATAAACTCGCCTTAATTGAGGCCATGGTTTCTCAAAATACAATCCATGAACATCAGCCTCAGAATCTTCTCAGATGTCTGTTGTCCCACAGATTCTTGGGCCATGGCCCAGGACTACCGAGTTGAAATCTGGGTCTGGACTGTGCTCGAGCATTCACTAATCACCTGATAGGACAGAAGGCCTCAGCCTTAAGTGGTGCTGTGATGCCTGCTTTGTTTACAAACATGGCTATTTAGATATGCCCATTTTCAAGTGGAGCACTATCTATAGCTTACTGGCAATTTCTAAACTCATGACACAATGCAAAGAGTAATGGCCATGCTTGCAGTAGAAAGCCAGCCCAGACGTTACCAAGGGTCTGGAGATAAGGATTTTAGGGAGTGTGTTTACCTTTGGGAATTAGTATTCTGGTCCCTTCCCTTACCTCCAGGGGAGTGAAACTGTAGTTCTCAAGGAAGGAGAGGCCAATGACTGGGACCAGAAGAAACTCCAGGCGGAATGTGTCATTCTCACTGTCAAATGTTTTCCGAAATTTCCCGTAGATCATGTACACTGTGACATAGGCACAGAGGAGAAAAACCACCTGAAAAGGGACAGAGACACATGGGAATCAATGAAGTCATTTCCCAACCTACTTGCTGGGCTTCAAATCCACCCTGAGTTGGGACCTAACAAACCCAGGAGCTAGTGCTCTGCCTTAAAGTGGAAAAGGTGAAGTGTATTTGCAATTTCTCTTGGGTCAGTGGCCTTAGAATCTGAAGCTCATAACCTTTTTGTTAAGTAAATACATGCTCCCAGTTGGGGCTGATAGCGCTCATGAAGACTCAAACGTGCTCAGGCGTCCTCCCACTGTGAAGCATCAGGCAAAACAAAACAAAAGAAAACAAAAACAAAACCCAGCATTGGTCTTCGTAGAGGGATTCAGCAGTTGTCTTCCAGGGCTCTCTTAAAACCTCAACTTCCTGGATCTGCATCAGTGACTTGAGAGCATTCTTCCTCATAGGCTAACATTCCTTGAATCAATTGATCACCAGTTCTTCAGAAAAGCGCTCTTTTTCTAACTATGGCAGCTGTCCTCCAATATAGAAGGATTTTATGATCTGGCCTCTAACCTAGGCCATAGGCTCTCATTTGAATTACATCAAAAGCATATAGGCGGCTGCCCCTTCCCCTGCCTCTAGAGTTTCTGATTTAGCAGGTCTGAGTGGGCCTGAGAACTTGCATTTCTAGTAATTTCCTACATGAAATTGTTGCTGCTGGTCCAGGACCACACTGGCCTAGAGAACTAATGTTTGTGCTTCAAAACTCAGGTTATTTCCTCAAAGTCTTTTCTCACCAGAATGAGGTACACATGCTCTGGGTCACCATATCCCTATGCAAAACTGCTCATTGCTGCTTGTGATCACATGTTCTGTAAATGTCTGTGTACCAGTCTGTCTTCCCTACTGGAAGAGATTCCGTAAGAAGGTCCATGTCCTGTCTATCTCTGAATCTAACTCAGGGTTAGATTCAGAGTGAATGAATCAGTGAAATGGAGATTACTTCATTTCACAAATGTGGAAATTGGCCTCTTTGAGGATCATAAACCTCATTCAGCCATGGCAAGGGCTGGGTCCGCAGTCTCTTCCAAGTCAGACTCCTGGGCAGAGAAATTAACCAAGCAGACAGTGTTTGCTACTTCTGTGTTGGATTTAAGTAGAAAGCGATTTCAGGCCCTCAGACCGAAGTTCACACTGAGTTCAACAACCCATAAGTAACAGCATCCTCCATTCCACCAATCCTAGGAACAAGATGCCCAGTATCCCAAAAGGGACATCCTGATATGGAGAACTCATTTTTGGTTAAATATCTTCTGGGCGCTAAGCACATTACATATATTATCTCATGTTATCTTCACAATAGCCTTGCAAGATAGGTAGGATTCCTCCCATGTAGCCTTTCTTCCTTAAAAACAGGACTCTCATTAGACCATGTCCCCAGCTAAAAACTATATTTTCTAGCTTCCTTTGCAGATAAGGATGGTCAGTGACATACATATGGAAGTCACCGGGTAGAGTCTGGGGAAAGCTCTTTAAAAAGAGCTTACCAAGCTGGCAGGCACCCTATTGCTCTTTCTCCCTTTCCTCTTCCTTCCTGCCCAGAATGTGATGTGATGATAGGAGCTCTAGAAACCATTCTGTGACCCTGAGGCAACCCAGAGAATAGATATCACACTTAGGACTAGCTATATAATTTGCAGGCAAGGCTTCTTGTTGAAAAATTAAGAATTTCAAAACGGCAACAGCAAAGCATTAAACCAAGCACGAGGCCCTTCTGAGCAACTGCACAGGTTACAAACTTCAGTCCTAGTCACACTAAAGCTGGCAGAGCAGAAAGTTAAAAGGAGCTGCCATCCCAGCCCTGGACTACTCACTTCCAGATTTTATGTTATGAGTGAGGTAAAAATAAATCCTTACCTTATTAAAATAACTCTTATTTTAAGTCTCTGTTACCAGCATCCAGACAATTACATCCCACTTTACTAACTCTGAAACCTGCCTGGGCTCCTTCCACTAAACTTTGTTGGGCTCCTTCCACTAAACTTTGTTGCCTTCAAGAGCTAGGATGGTTGGTTAAAACCTCAGAAAATGTCTCACCCCAACAGAAGCTCACAGCTCTGACCCAGGGCCTGGAACTTCAAAGTAAAACAGGATCAAGCTTCAGAGCAACAGTTTCCTGTCACAAAACTGAATCCAAACCATTCACCTGCACCATCTGCCCTCACCCAGCCCGCCGTCAGCATCCCCACCGCCAGCGGGCAGCCTTCACCTTCTCAACTTCCACTGTCCCCCGACTATACTGAACTTGTTCCTGTCTTGGGGCCTTTGCACTAGCTATCCCTTCTGCTTGAAATACTCTTCCTCTGATCTTCATTCCTTGTGTCACTCAGATCTCAGCTTACATGTCACTTCTTCAGAGAGGCCCTTCCTGGTCACACTCCCTGAATAGTCCCCTAGTCATTCTCTATGACATAACCCAATTTAAAAATTTTTTTTGTATGTTTGAAGGAAACATCACCCAGTTTTAATTATTTGCATAGCATTATCCCCACCAGTTTTCCTGGATTGTTTTATTGGCCCTCTCCCCAGTTAGAATGTAGGTGCCACGAGCACCGGCACTTCACGTCTACTTCAGGTACCTCACTCACAGGACGTGCTCAGTAAATATTTGACACATAAATGGACGAATACGTTTTCTAAAAGCCTAGGGCACCACCATGTTTGATTTTTTGTTTATTTTTTAACCATTATAATAGCTAACCTTTATTGGGTGTTTAATATATGGCAGCTATTCTGTGTTTATATTTGTGACCTTGTTGAATTTTCACAACAAAATCCTCTGAGGTAAGTACTACTCTCTTCATTTTGCAGAGGAGGAAACTGAGGTACACAGAGTCCAGACGCCTTGCCCAAGCCCAGATCCCACAGCTGCTAACAGCAAAGCTGGGATTCAAATCCAGGTCTGCTTGGTTCCACAGCTGAGTTCCCAAGCCTGTCTCACGGTCTAGGGGCGCTTGGCAGGCCCCCTGCCATGGCTATCCATCTCCCTTACCTTCATCACTGTGTTGTAGATGGAGATGAAGTTGGTGAACAGGTCCAGGTACCTGGTGGTGAAGACGAGAGCGAAAAGGATCTGGCTCTTCCCAGAGATGCCTGTGGCCGGATGGGGACATGAGATAGTAAGAACACAGCCTCCCAGGCTCACACATACTCAAGAAGCCCAGATTCTGAGCTGGAATGGCCTCCAGAGTGTCCAGTCGCATCTAACAATGACACTTGTCCAGGGGACTGCCGCCCTCTGAGGGTCAGGAAATCCTCCTTCCTATTGGATCACTGGAGTCTGTTACTCTCATTGGGCTGTAATCTGTCAACCAGTCTCCAAATAAAGGCATGAACACTGAGTTCCCAGGGCCCCTGCGAGTGCCTACCTCGGCTCTTGCTCTGGGGAGGGCGTGGGGGTGGTGTGAGTCGGGCTTGGGGGCGGGGGTGTCAAGGCTTCTCTTCGCTCCACCCCCAGAATTCCACTGACAATCCCCAAAGTTCCAACTTTTGGAGAACAACTCACTTACTCTATGAGGTGTTGATTCACCAGGGAGACCAGAGCAGGCGGAAGAAGGCGCAGGGCCAGGGGAGCATTCTATTTTATTTTTCCAACTTTTAAAGATTAAAAAAGCTTTTTATTCTATTATAAAAGTTATGACTATTTTTCCTCTGTAAAACAAAAAACCAGATAATACATAGAGACGCGAATTTAAAAAAGCAGTAATCACCTGAAGCCCAAAGCCTCAGTGTGCACCCTTCCAGATCTTGTTGGCTCACATACACACGGCACATGTGGACACACTGAGTCGACAAAACTGTGTTCATACTTTCCATGCTAGTTCTTCACCTGCTTTGGCCTCTTTCTTTCTAAACTTTTAATTCTGAAACAATTTCAGGTTTACAGAAGAGTTGTAAAGACAGTACAGAGAGTCCCTGTATACCCTTTACCCAGCCTCCTCCAATGTTAACACCTTGCATAATCACAAAACATTTTGCCAAAACTAAGAAATTGACATCGGTATAGCCCTATTGACTAAACGTCAGACTTTATTCAGATTTCACGTTTTCCCAATGATGTCCTTTTTCTGTTCCAGGATCTCATCCAGGAATCGAAGCTGCATTTAGCCATCATGCTCCTTAGCCAACTTTTGGCCACTTTTGATACATCCTGGAGGTGGTTCCAAGGTGGAGTGAGCAGATACCCTGCCTCCCGTTTCTCTTGCCTGATCAAGCCCACAGCAGTCTGGATACTTCTCCAAACCACCCCCATGGTCTATGATGTCCATGTTTTTGCATCCAAAGGTCAACTCTGTCCTCACTCACCCAACCCCTCAACTACACCCTTGCCCGGGCTTCTGTGACTGTCCACACTGCTAGCTTCTCACCTTCTCTGACCGCCCGTCTCCTCCTTGACACCTAATCCTCGGAAGGCCACCTCTTTTCTCCTTCTGTCCCTTTGCCATCCCATGGCACACATGGGGGACACTCTGGCTATGGACTCTCCTCAGAGTTCTGACCTATATTCCTGCATGACCACATAACCACCCCGCCCGGAACCCCCTCCTCCTGTCTTCATAGATGCCACTACCATCCCCTCCACGCTCAAGCCAGAAAACCACGAGCCATCCTTGAGCCTCTCTCACCTTTGCCCACCCACCCTTAGATTTTATTCTAAATGTGATGGATTGACTGGGGAGTTTGACACAGAGAAGGGATTCAGGGTTTTGCTCCTTTGTACACCTGACCTGTGCCTTCTCTAACCATTCCTCTGGTGCGGGACATTTTGGGGAGGGGCAATTGTAATGAGTGAGGATGAGCACCGTTGAAGCCCTAACATTCTGGAGAGCACTGGGTCCACATGCTGGACTTCCTACCAGCATGGCAAGCCTGCTCCTCACACTCATCTGTAAAACGGAGCAGGACTGACGTGAGGACTAAATAGGATTCAGCGGGAACATGAGTGCTCCTTGGGGGTCTGGCGTGGGGCTGGCTATGCGGGAAGGAGCTCCCTGTGGGGGGATGGGTGGTCCCTGAGCCCTCACTGAGGGAGGCCCTCAGCCCCATGTAGGAGGGTCCAGGAGGTGGCTCTGGTGGAGGATGCTTGGCTTCCTCCTCACACGGCCTTCCCCCACCCCTCCCCTCTCTCCATCCCCAGCCTGCCAGGCCCCTGGGCTTCACTCACATTTTCCTTAGCGCTTTGGGAGCCCTCGCATCTTGAGCACAATGGTTTTCACACTCTTTTGAAAGGAGTGAATAATTCCCACCAAAGCAAGCTGAGCATGGAGACCCCAGGACACAGAAGAGACCATGAACCAGCACCTGGCCAGAGTCCCTCGGGGGTCCACCAAGCACGTATGGGACCCACCTACTAGGGGAAGCCCTCCCTCCCATTTGACAGATGGGGAAACTGAGGCCCAAGGTCACACACAGAGTCAGTGGCAGAGCAAGAATAAAGCCCTAGTCTCCTGCCTTTGGGGCTAGGTCACTGGGGTTTCGCACCAGGCCCTGCTCCTCGGGGCTGACAGGCTGGCATCCAGGCACCTCACCTACTCAGTTCTCAACCAGGCCTGCGATGATCCTTCTCCACACACATACAGTTCCCACCACCCATCTGCTCTTTTCTTTTCCCATAGCACTTAGCGCCTCTGACAAACCACATCATTTACTCAGTTGCTACCACTGTTGCCTGTTGGCGGTCTCCCACTGCTAGATTCAGTTGTATCAGGTCAGGATCTCTGCCTGTGCTGGCCGGTAATATCCCAGGTGCCTGGTAGGATGCCTGGCAGAGCGGGTTGGGGAACAGCGCCCCCTCCTGGTCATGGCTGCTCATCCTGCCCATGGCCCTGCGTGCAGAGACAGGTCCAACCAAGCAAGATTCCCTCACTGGAGCTGTCTCAGTGTTCCTGGCCCTTTTCACTAGAGCGGGAACCTGAGGGGCCGTGTGGCTATCACCTTGGAGGCCCCAAACCCAAATGGCCTCCTTCAGCAATGACCCCCACACCAGCACCCACCTCTCACTCCTACCGAGCCTCCCAGGCTGGCAGCCTCCACGATGCTTTCTCGGATTCCTCTACCAGCCAATCCACACAGCTTCCAGAGTCCCCTTCCAAGCCCCCTCACCTCCCAAATTTTCCATGGCTCCCTAGTCCCAACTCCTTAGCCTGACAGACAAAGCCCTTTCACATATGACCACCCACCCCCCGGGCTCATCTCCTTCCCAGATCACCCCCAAATCGGGCTGCTCACTATTCCTGGGACATAGTGAGCCCTGCCCTCTGTGACACCACACACCCTTCTTGGGTGACACCCTGCCTGTCTTCCAGGACCCAGCACAGAGCTGCTCCCTCCGTGAAGCCTTCAGGGGTCCACTCACTGCGTCCTTGGCCCCCATAAGGAGCCTGTGTTCATCTCTGTGTCCCCTCACCTCAGTGACAAGCTCAGGGCAGGAGCCTCCAGGACACCAGCGGACAAAGATGGCTGCAGGTGGCTCAGGTAGCGTCTAAATGCAGTGGGTCTGTTTGGCCATCACCAGTCCAATCCTGAAACCTTCAACCCCCAGCAGGGCAGCCAGACTGCTGGGGACAATGGGGACCCCTCCTACCCTCCCTGGGCTTCTGCTCAAGGGCAGCCCCATGCCCACCTGGGCAGGGCCGGTCCCCCTCCTGCCACATCACAGCCGCCTGTAGCACAGTCAGGGGAGGAAAGATGGCCCAGCCTGTGGGGCAAGTCTGGGAAGGGGCAGAGGCGAGCAGTCAGGGGAGGAAAAGAGGAGACCTTGAGAGTTTGGGGCCACTTCCTGTATGGACACCTCCTTCCCCCCACCTCTGATTCCCACCCTGGGCCTGAGTGAGTGTAGAGAGAACAATGGGCCCCAAGGGGTGCTGCTCTTGGGCAGCAAAGGGGGTGTCACTTCCTCCTTATCCCCCTCCTCTTCCAACTAGCAGTGGCAATGCCAGGCAGGGGAGGGAGGGGGTCAATGGAGCCACAAGCCCATCCTCCCTCCATAATCTCCACGGGCCGTTTTTCTTTGATGTGGTACAATTTTAAACTTTCTTTGGAAGCGGAGCTGGGCAAAAACAGTTTCAAGCACGGCCAAGCCGAAGTCCCCACCCAGAACAGAAATTTAGGAGCCAGAGGCAGAGGCGTGGGGCTGGCCCTCCAGTCCCGGTCCCCCACCTCCCGCCCGGGGCGCGCCTCACCCGTGCAGCACTTGGACCTGCAAATCTTCCCCAGGAGCAAGATCATGGCCAGGAGGTGGCTCAGGTCGCCGAGGATTCGGAACACGTTCATGGTCCGGCCCGCGCGCAGCCAACTCCCGGGAAAGTTTCTGGTGGGCCAGGCGGCTGCCACGTCCCCGTCCCCGGGCTCTGGGTCCCGAGCCCCTGCCGGTGCCTCCGAGCTCCTCGCTCCGCCAGCGCGCTCTTGGCCGGGCGGTGACGTGGCCAGGACGGCTGCCGCGCCAGGGAGCCAGGAAGCGC